AAAAACAAAACAAAACAAAACCTGGTGAATGACGGGGCTACAATACAAATAATGAGGGTGACTCAGAACAGGAACCCCTTAACATATAGGGTTAGGGTTATACAACATTTCATTGTGGCATGCACTGATCCTGTGGCATGCACTGATCCTAAATTTCAACTAACAAGAAACACTAAAGATATCACTGATTCGAGAATAATTATGTTCTAAAAATATAAAATACATGATAAAACTTTCTTTAAAAACAAATAGTGCGTGAGCAACAAAGAGCAAAAAATATTCCATATGACGATACAGTGATCACATAAATGATTGCTAAACAATGTGATTGTTATTGTGATTATCACACTTTAATGCAGCTAGTTTGGTGCATATAAAAGCCGAACAGATGTGTTTTCATTTGAGTCAGATATCTGATTTGATCCGATTACTGTGGGAACTCTAAGAAAAACAATTAACTTTATAAGTACTCTTATTCAGGGTTTTTTTCCTCCATTTACAATTTAAAGACAGCTGCCTTGTTCAAATTAAGTGCTGACATGACCAACTCAACAAGGGTTAGGGAGGTGAAGAGATAAAATGATGTACTAGAATTAGCAGAAACAACTAGCCAGTTAACTGGGATGGAAACATTTAGTCAAGTACTTAAAGGTCCAGTGTGTCTGATTTAGTGGCATCTAGCGGAGTAGTTGCAGATTACAAGTAGTTCACTTCACCCCCCCTTTCCAAGCTCAAATCAGAAACTACGGTGGCTGTGAAAGAACACGACAGGCCCTATAGAGCCAGTGTTTGTCCATTCTGGACTACTGTAGAAACATGGTGGCTGTAAATAAAAATGTCTCATTCTGTACCTTCCTGAATGTTACACACTGGACCTTTAACCTGAGGGTTTCTTTTTTTTCTTTTGTGTGAGTAACACAACAAAGTAAACTGACAAACAAGCTCCAATAAAAATTAGTCGGAAACAAACAATAAAACAATAGTCAAAACAAAAGTAATTAATGTGAACCCACACATGTCCGAAAAGGAGGTAGGGGATGACAGCATATGCTTACTCTGTAAACAACATACCCCTCTCCACTACTCAACTTGAAGGGAAAAGAAAAAAAAAAAAAACAACTAGCAAAAAATAAGAAAAAACAAATACATAAATCCATATTTATAAGCAAACACAACCCGGATTGGTTTAAAGGCCCTTCTTCCTCCTGGACCATCATTGAAAACCAAGTGCTTTTGTACC